TAACACTCCTCCTCGTATATATATATATATATATATATATATATACATTGACCGACTCCTCGCTCGTAGATCTCACTTTCACACCAGGGATTATAAACCATTAATTCTGACATCGCGTCCAGGCCAAAATAACGAGAGGAGGGGCGCGAGCCTTAATGCGATACCGTTGACCGTACTGAATTTTCTATCAGTTGCGTCGCCTTCCCCCACTCTCTCCATCCTCTCTCCCCACTCCGGCCTGTACGTTACACCACAAGAGGAGAGGGGGAGCGAGTTTTACGAGCTATTAAGTTCACTTTTATTCGATATATACCTACTTATACACTCGCGCTTGGGTATATATATATATATATACATTTGTACCGGTTACCACCGTGACCATTAACGTCACTTTCACAGTTTTTGCTCCCGATAAATATTTCTAGATCCAATTTTTCTTTTTCCCCTAACTCGAACATACTTTCCGGACAAATTAATTTGCACTTTTTTTCCTAATTTAGAAAGAAATAAAAATTGCTTTACACAAATATCAACGATATTCTCGTGTATTTATGGGTGTATCGTATCGTGATAGTTTATTAGGGATAATGAGGGAACCGTTTTTCCCCTGTCATTACTCGAGATGATAGACCACGATCGGCAATTTACTAAATTGACGCCGCCTCGGTCTGTTTGCAGAGCCGATGAGGCACGTGAAAGCGGAGCACTTGCAGCACGACAAGGACCTGGACGAGGAGGACGACCTCGATCTCGAGGAGGATCCCCGCCGGGGCGAGCATCCGTTTCACCACGCGATGCAGCACCACCACCACCACCACCAAGCGTATCCCGGCGAGGACCACCTGAAGGACGAGGGTATCGTGAAAACCGACTGCAGCGCGGCAGGCGTGCCGATACCCGCGACCAAGCCGAAAATCTGGTCGCTGGCCGACACGGCCGCGTGCAAGACGCCCCCGCCCCCCACCCACCCTCATCATCAACAGTACCATCACCTTCATCACCAGCAGCACTACGGCCAGCAGCAGCACCACATGGCCACCAACCAAGGCCACCACCACCACCACCACCACCACCACCACTCCCAGCAACCTTGGCTCGGCTCCGGGGGCGGGGCGGCGCCGGGGGCGGGGGTAACCTGAGCTCGTTCGCGCTTCCGTCCTCGGCGTCGATGAGCCCGTCTGCAGCCGCGACAGCGCCTTACTCGAGCGCCGCCACGAGGTACGGCGGTTTCCTCTCGTCCTCGTCCGGCGGCCAACTCCACTACAACCCGAACTCGTCGTCCGGCTCGAGTTCCTCTGCGTCCTCCTCGGCGGCTGCGGGGTTTCCCGAGGTTGGTACGGACACCCCACCCCAGACACCGCCCAACATGAAGGTGGCTACACCGAATGGAGTGATCCAGGCACCACCGGGCGGTTACTGCACTGGTGGCAACGGGAACGCGACGAGCAACGGTAATCCAAATCCGTACGGGCAGAGCCATCCGGCGGCCGCCGGCTATCTGTCGACCAGTTCCGGCTCGGCGAGCAGCGGTTCCTCGTTCAGCTCGAGGCTGCAGGCGTCCCCGCACAAGGACTTCTCGCCTGCCGGCCAGAACTCTATCCTCCACCAGCACCAGACCACTGCCAGCCTACCGCCCACGGAGGCCACCACCGCGTTCAAACCGTTCTATAAGGGGTAGGTAGGTTCCTAGAGGGGGGGAGTTGTTCTTGAAGGCGTGGAAGATTGATGATGATAGGTGTTAGAGGAGAAGAGATAATTTGGAAAATCGAAATTATGTCTGTTTCAGCTCGCAGTCCATGGGTAGCGGATTCGTGTCGCCTGTCTAAGGAACTCGCTGGATCGATTCTGGATCACCGCGTCGCGTTCCTCCAGGTGAGTGGGGGGGTTGTGTTCCGTTCGGGAGAAGAATTCGTTTGTGCGCAATTTTGCGATGTTGAATAAATTCGTAAATATGATAAGATAAGAGTATATAAAAGTACGGCTTTTTAATTCTACTTAGAATTTTGTGTTGAAATTTTAAAAATATTGCAAAATTGCACGCAATATTATTTAAGAATTCATATATTCTCGAAACCGGTCACGAGCCACCGTTTTACCGATAATTATATAGAAAATGACAGTTGAACGAAAAAACAGAGAGAGAAAGAGAGAGCGAGAACTCACAAACATTTCAAGAAATTTATGACACATTATTTTCCACGCGAAATCCTCGGAGCATATAACGAGTAAATACTAAAAAACGCGACGTCCGAAGTTTTTTTCTCATTTAACGAACCAGATCTTCCATCTTTCTCTAACCTACTACATACATACATATACACACTTTCCCCGTCGCTTCAGGCTAACGTCTCCGCTCGTCCAAAATATACATGTCTCTTCGAGCGAACGAAATATCACGGATGAATCACTATCTCGCGTTAAAAGAGAGACATTCCCTATCGTCCGCCGCTCGACGATAAATCATAAGCACACGAAATAACGCTAATCGTGTGGCGCGTGTACGAGGAGGTGCGATCGTAATTTATAACACGCATAGAGGGAATCTGTCGGGCAGAGAGTAACACGATAATCGGTTTGCAAATCGTTGGATTGGCGTGTTGTTGTTGTCTACGATCGACGAAAGCTTTTCGTGGTTGCTGCACGGTTGGTGGAAAATCGATAAGAATTAATATTGGACGCGTCGATTGGTCGTTAGGGGTCGCCTCTCTCTCTCTCTCTCTCTCGTTGTAAAATAAT